AGTGTGTCAAGTGTAGGTGGTGTAGAAACAATTTCTTTTGCATACAGTAGCTAGATTTTCAAAAAACCGCCCTTCTTTCGCGCCTGAATTTTGGCCAGGAAAGTGAATGCATTGAAATTCCGATTTTGGCCATTTGGAGTTCTGTAACTCTTCAACACTGAGGCTGGAAGAAGCTTTAGCAACCATTAGAGTGAGAATGAAAAGAGTTTCTCATTAATATGCTGCATCTGTTTTAAAGAAGAAATTGTGATGAGAAAAAGTTATCCTAAAAACGGGTTGAAAAACGGCCATTATTTTTGCATCAAGTATAATACAAATAAGCCACCTGCACATTTTTATAATCCAAGTAAGTGACATTCAAAAATTTTGCGACCCATTCTCGGAAGGGGGAGGCATGCCCACCCTCCTCCGAGAATGGCATCTATTAGTGGTAGCCAGGATTTCCATTTAAAAGAGGGACAGAAATTTTTTTCAAGTGAAGGACTCCGAAAATTTTTTTGGTATGCTTATCGAAATTTTGTCGGCTGACGGCAGTTTCAACTATAAACAAGTCGCTTGCACATTTTTATAACTCATACAAGTAACTTTCAAGAATTTCGCTACCCATTCTCGGGGGGGGGGGGGAGTCTCGATACGCCAATGGTATCTATCAGTGGCGGTCCCAGGATTTCGGACGGGGGAGGGGGCGCGGCAAAAAATTTTTTCAAATGAAGGTGCGTGGGCTTAGTCATGCACTCCAAAAAAATATTTGGTGTGCTTCTCAAAATTTTTGCGGGTCCATAACACCTAAAATCCTGAAAAAGGGGGCGTGGCGGCAGCTACGCCCCAGAAAAAATTTCTTTACAAGTTAATCGAAACATTTTAAAAATTTAATTGTTTACAGAAATAAAAAAGTCACCTGCAAATTTTTGTAACCCTGTAAGTAAATTTCAAAAATTTCGCAACCCATTCCTCCCAGAGGTGACGTGTTTATTTTTCTAAGCAATTAAAATAATATTTGAAATTCTATAATTTAAATTAGCCTTGTAAGAAAATGTATGAAACATCAACGACTTGTCAATTCTTTTAGCGGCTCACGACTAGGCTGAAGATGCACTGATCGCGCCACCTACACAGTGCTTTTCGTATCCTTTTTACATCGTATTTGGACTAACCTTGCATCGATGACCTCTTTCGAACCATCTAGGTGCAGATAATTTCCATATCAGCGTTAGGTAGACCTTTTTGAGAAAACGAGATACCAGTAAACAAACAAGTTTAGCCTATCGATAGATGAAAGAAGAAGATGAGGAAGGCTAAGATGCAAAGAAACCTTAAGCAAATTTTGAGATGCGAATAGAAGTCTCGAAAGACTAGGTTGTTACGAAAGTTCTGTCCGATTTCACGTTTTCTAGTTAAAAATGTTACAAGTTCTTTCAAGAACAATATTTTTGCACAACTTATAGCTGCTGGATTGAGCGAGTTTATGGCTATTATAAGCACAATATACCACGCAAACAAGGCAAGCGAGTGAGAAGAAAAAACTTGGAAAATTTTGCAAGATCACCTTCAAAATCGTTTACTTTAACGCACTAATGCTTCCACATAAAGATAGGCGGAAATATTTGGCTGACACCATTAAATAACCTATAGTTCAGAGATTATTTTATGGCTAAAGAGGATTCAAGTTGTCTTTGCTGCATAGAATTTTTTACGAAATCAAGAAAAAAACATTATTCAAGCCCTCCTTTGTGCGCGCAGGTATGCGACTTTCTGATATTTGATTTTTTTCCTTTGTCGCGAAAGAAGGAAGCTGATTGGCTGACGGTCCCTGATTGCTCTCGCTACTCTAACATATGCAATATTGATTTTATCACTTGTGGCTATACTAAATTGTTGTCACTCGTTGAATAACTGAGTTTGTCTTCTATTTTTGAAAATAAATTCCAAAAATATGACATTATCTGTCGAAGTAAAAGTGTGCTTATATTGACCCGTTACACCCACCCATTACAAAATATTACATGTTCAATTTTACGAACACGGAGGAAATTCTCACAGTAACTTTTTCTTGAGGATGATTGCATTTTGGCAACTTTTCTTCGGAGCTTAGAATTTCATCATTGGGAAGCTGTTTCATCAAGAATTAGTATGCATTGGAAAGAACATGAAAAGTGCTTTCTAACGGTATTTGTAATCTTATATATAAAGCTGAATGTCTGTTTGTATGTCTGTATGTACTAGGGTGAGTCAAAAGTAATGAGAACATCGCACCTCTTTTTGAAACTTTCTCTAACTAGGAAGAATGTGTATAGGCAAGTGCTCTAAACGGTGTCCGTCATGGATTTTCTTTCTTTTCCGACAGCTATAATTTTCACTCAAATCACTTCGTAATTGCTGAAATATTTGCAGAAATTTTGAACCCCAAGCGTTTTCCGTTCAAAATCTATGGATTTTTCAAACTTGTCAAAATTTTTTAGATTGTCATAATTTGAAGCGGTAAACGCTTAAAAACCTTGCAAAATCAAGGTTTGATGATAAACTATTTTCGAAGCTCTCAAATTCGAAAGATTTTGTAGGGTTTAAAGCATTTTTGTTTTGAGCCATTTTTTGGAATTTTGAGGCTTTTGGAAAAATGATTTTAGGAGGCCTCAAAATGCTAGTTTCGAAATACCTAAATAGAGGTTTGCATCAAGCAGGACCTGGTTTGTTTTTATGTTATCGAATTTTTATCAAAAACCTCAAATTGATAAATATGAGGATTAGCTAAACTCAATCAAAGCAGAAATGACGGGTTTAAACTTTGGGAAATTTTTTCGACAAATAAGAAGTCAACTGGGCCATTGATCTCACTGCTGAAAAGAGAAAGAAAAGCTACATTTTATATGATTCAAAGTACTCTTCTATCGTTATTCTACCCGAGTTGCGGAATATTCGAAATGGTGACAACCTAGTATGTCTGTCTTTATGTATGTATGTAATGTATGTACGTATGTTCCGAATAGAAATTTTTATTTCTGAACCGATCCCGACCAAACTTGGCACACATACACTTCGGGGGCGGGCGGGTGTCATAGGCTATTTTTCGTCATCGATCGATATCGATTTTATCGATTTTTATCGATTTTTTTGTAAAGTTTGACCTGCGAGGCTGGGAGTTGGCTCAGGGGGTAATCGAGCATGCTGATTACGAATACCATATTAGTTTTTGGAATCAACCGCTACTTTTATCGATTTTATCGATTTTTTTGGTTTGGTTTGGCAAAGTTTGGTTACGGGGCTAAGGCTGGTGAGTGTCGCGGATTCGCGACCTCCTTCAAAGAAGGCCGTCGCCGCGGTGCGAAGGGGTCCTGAAACGCTGTCCTCGCGCTGCTCCCGCCTTCCCATCGCTACCGCCGCAGCTTTCAAATCAGTCGTCTATTCCGTTACCTGGTGAGCGGTTGAGTCCCAGTTTCGTCATCCTACGTGTCGATCGATGCAGCGCCGTCCCCAACTCACGCGTCTTCTACATCCAGTACGCCACGGAGGACAGGCAACCCCGCAGACGAGGTAACCCCGTGAGCGCTCGCGCCTGGCATACGCCGGCGACACCGCCACGGGGGGTTTCCGATATTGTCGGCCCCTAGGTTAAGATCTGGCTGGTTGTGCTCACCCCCTTGTGTTTGAGTTTAGGGATTAGTTGTGGATAAATGGTGGGCATTTTACACGTGTGATTTGTTTGGTGCGGTGAGCCACAGCTCGGCTGTGGCTCCGGGGATATCACATGTCATCATTGTTATTGTGTACTTTATAATCTTGCCTAGTGGGAAAGATCTGTCGGAAGGCTGGCACGACTCCGGGGAGTGCTGTGGTTATATGTACACGCCCCAACTGTCGATAGTTGGGAGGATAGTTTGGATCGCAGGTGCCGAGTAACTGCTAAGCAGGCTGGTGGCAAGGGCCTCTACGTGTGCATGGAGTGTCCCTGTGGCAGGCGCACACAGCATTTCTCACAGGTAGCCACCACATGATACGTTTCACTCTTTCACGGAGCGGACCCCTGGCTTCCCTCGCCGATGCAGGAGAGCCGTAACACCACTGACGTTGGGAGCTGGGGGCCCAATCCGCGACAGTGAGGAAGGTAGGTGAGCATACTGATTACTAACACAGCGGGAATAGGGAATTTCAAGCAAAAGTGGGCACGGGGAAAGGTTGCACAGGGGTAGAAATGGAACCTTTATCGCTTTGACAGAACCGGGCGGAGCCGTTCAAGCCAGCTAGTACTTCAATGAGTTGAAAAGTCCACGAAAATAGCTTTTTAAAATAATCAAAAATCAGAAAGAACTTTCGGAACAACCTAGTAGAAGTCTAACAATAAGTCTGAGGAGCTGGCGCGCTCTGCAAACAAAAACATGGTTTATAGTGACGTGAGCCCATATAAAGGCAGCAAATTGCAACTGCGCGCTTTCTTTTCCTCCTTGGCCTTCTCAATGTGTTTAGACCAGTGTGCTTGAAAAGTCAAAAAGTGATTTTTTATGGCGTTCTGCGGCCTTGGGGGTTGCTGAGGAGGCTGGAGCGTAGGTTCCCGCCTCTTGACCTTGGCGGCAGGAGTCCAAGCCCAGATTCAAGGGCTTCTGAATAGCCCTTTTCAACATTTCGTGCTCTTCAAGCTGCATTCTAGGAATCAGCGGAAAGGATAAGCCCAGATAAGCGAAAAAATTCTATTCGAAATTTGCGCGATCTCTGCCTTCATGGGTAAAACGGCCACCTATCTCCATGAGAGTAGGCGATTGATGCATACTCCGCCCCAGGCGAAATAAAGTTATATCGCACCAAACTCGGTTAATTAAGGGTACGGTCATTAAGTCCTCCCGACTACATCAAGTCTTTAAAAGAGAGTTAAAACTAAGAAAAGAAAAGATGAAAGTAGACTTGATTTCTGGCGGGAGTCAAGTCCCGTCACTACTCTTCCAAGTAAGAGACATTTCTTAAGCATCATTTTTTGAAAGCACTAGATGCGTTTTCATGCGAGATGTACTGACCGGTATTGAATCCACATCAAGCAGCCTATCACCTCTCAGAAATGCATGGGCTCCTCGACTGTTGCTTTCCACCTGTTAATACACTGTAGTGTATGTGTGATGAGAATGTTTTGAGAACATACTCTAGTCACGTGACATTGTCTATTGATAAATTTCACGTCGAATCCATTCCGAAGATTCTTGAAGCGATATACCTCTGCAATTTGAAAGTATTCTGAATAAGACTGCATTCTGACTTTGCTCTCCGTGAGGTTCCTCCAGGCAAGTTCAAAGGCAAATATTACATGATACTACTTGTTCGATTTTTATCATTTTTGTTTCGCTTTGAAGGCTGCGCAATGCTGTTAAAATCTGCCTTACCTACGATAAGATACGAGAAATTATCTTGCTTTTTAACCCACGACATCCTGGCCTCTGTTGCTGGTTGAACATTCCAGGCTCGAAGTATTAGTAGTTTCAACTGTATTAGATCATGTTAATTCATTCAAAAGAGGCGTGTCGAAACAGAAAAGCTTTTTTCTCAGCTTACCATCGAATCTGATTCATGCATAACGGATAAGAATTCCGGAACATTCATTGGAGCTATGTTGTTAATCTCTAGTATCTAATAAAGGAGAAGTCATACTTAAGATTAACGACACTCAGCTCGAGATTGGAAGTGCCAACCTGATCTCCTACCAGCACATTATAAAATGCGATGGAGTATTTGCTGACAGTACGTATTACGAGATTTGTAGAAAGCACGAGATCTAGAGGCTTGCCCTGAAAGTGTAAGTAGCACTCATTCGCTTGTATCTGCAAGTGCGATAGAATGGAGAGGTCTTCATTTTTGGGTAAGATTAGCCTTTTCTTTTGGGCTGAGGTGTAGTGAAAACATTTGGCAGGAAGTTGTAATTTTTGGGTGAATTAAGTCCTATGAAGTGGACTGAATCCATACGAAACCGTTGTCACACTGTCTGCAAGTACGGTGCCACAAAGGGTTTGGAACCGAAATTTATTTTAGTCGTCGTAAAGCATTGTCGTAAAGCATGCTGTACAAGTGAAGCGGACCTCACAGACATAATCAATTGGTTTTGAAGACAATTACGACAATTAGACAATTAAGTCGTTACTATACGTCTGACATGCTCTAACCTATTCTCACACAAGCGCGACCAACTTGCACGGCTAAAATGAGTAAATGGCATTTTTTTACAGCAAACACAGTCCTATGACATCGAGTTGACTATTGTACACGATATACATTCAAACATTTGCAAACGTGTACGGAAAATTATGTGACGACCCCTTTTCATATTTCATCTTCGAAGGCGCCAGCATGATGACTGAATTGTTATGCAGCTTATATTAAGCCGTTTCATAAGGGGTGCGGTGCAAGAGGAACGATAGTAATTGCCAGCTGCTAGCACCAATGCACTATTTTCCTTCACAATACGCAAATTGCAAACTTATAAAAAATAGAGTGTATGAAATTGATGCTCTACTCAATTTACTACAAGTCTTGCTTAAATCCCGGTGGTTCGTGCAACTCGGTGATGTTCATGCAGGAATAAGCTTGAAATACTTGAACTTTCACCTTTGAAGCCCTTTTTTGACATTTTCAGAAAATTTTCACACCTCATTTTTAAGCAAACACAATCTACCCGATTCCTATCTAGAAGAAAGCATAAAAGAAGGAAACGCGCTAGATTTCTTGCTTATGGACAAAAATGACGTTGAATTATGCGCGAGTTATTGACACCCACCAGCTATCGTTCCTCTTGCTCGCCACCCGTTTCATAAGTTCGCAGCGTTTATAAACCAATGACGAAGTTCTATCAGTTCTCAATCAATAATGAATATTCCGTTGTTGCACATAACATTCTGCCAGCTTACCGTCAGTTTTTCAATTTTTTCCAATAGTCAGCGGGCCAGGTCCCGAAAAATCTTTTGACAGGCGCCTGAGAACGTTTTCACATTCGAAGAAAACGCGTTCATATAATTTTTGCGACAGAGCGTCAAATAAAATCTGGTTGAGCGAGGTCGGAGGAGTACATTGGGTAATATTGTACCTCCTAATCTAGTTTGCAGGACACTTTTGAGGCGTTAGCCGTATGAGTCATGTTTTGCCACTTAGAAAAACTCATTGAACCGGTATATAGGCCTTTTCTGCACTGTGGATTCGTGAGGGCGAATTTAGGTCAAAGGTACAGTCGCTTCATTTCATATGATCATGTGTGTCATTGCACACACAGTTCACCTTTGGCGTCCTCATCCTGAATTTGCAATCGCAGAAACGCAAGAGACTTACCGATTGTTATCGATTGCATCAATTTGAGGTGACTAGTAATCAAAAAGGAAAGAAAATGCTAAGAACACCTTGGAAACACTTACCTGAAGAGTTGTTTCTCCCACGAATCCAGGATGGGGACGCCAAAGGTGAACTGTGTGTGCAATGACACACGTGATCATATGAAATGAAGCGACTGTAATGTATAACCAACCCGTCCTGCAAAAAGTCTTGTTCAGGGAACACCTGTTCAACCCTTGGTCTATTGGAACGACCCAATACTCTTTATCTCAAACTAATACGCAAACGCCAATTTCCATAACCAAAACACCTTTTTATAAGAATTCCATCTTTGGAAACTAAAGACTTGAAATAAATCAGCTCTCCATCAAAATCATTGAGCTCATTTCAATGCCGCAAATCGACTGCCTCTTATGTTAGAGAGACAGGCTCCCGCCAGAGTGCCGAAGTTATGCCAGCGTTACGCCAGCATTTCGATCGATACACGTGTATTTCGTTGGGGCGGGGCTAGCTGACGTCCCCAACGAAATACACGTGTATCGATCGAAATGCTGGCGTAGCGCTGGCATAACTTCGGCACTCTGGCGGGAGCCACAAAGACGATGAAAACACAACGAACATCTGAAATTTAAACCTGGTACTTCCGAGCTTCTACCACGTTTACAGTTTTTTTCTTATATTTTTTACCAGTGCGTCACCTCTGCTTCGCAGAGGCTCGCACTGGCCCTATGCTCTGTATGCCTTACTCATTCCCGCATAATAATGACATTGAAACTCACCGCGCTATGTAGGCTATCACGAATAATTCGTAAACAACTACTCATTCGTAGAGGTCTTCCATGTGAGATCGGTATTTTCGCGTGGATAAAATCTTTCCCAGAAGAACAGATGCAAATTCGAATGGGCTTTTGGAATTTTTATGGCTTGGTAGTCGCCGTAAGGACAATAGACATAGTGGGCTACACCTCTGTGCAAAATTCTTCTCAAATAATCAGGTAAAATCTTGAATATTTGACCGTTTACACAGCGAATGCTTTTTGGCGCTGTTTTCGTAAAGTAGTAGACTTTTCATGACTTTTTAGGCTAACGTCCATGGCTTGCACATTAGCTTGTCGAATATATCCTTAGCTCTGCAAAAAGTAGTACTACGGACCCAAATTTGCTGGCGAGAAGCCAAGTGGATCCGTTTGACGCGCAATTTTCAATGGATCCACTTAACGGATCCGCTCATGCTTTTGTATATTGAGGTTTCATGCTGGTAGCGTGCGCTGTGCAAAATTTGGGCTCAGGACGTTGGCTGGAACACGCTCTACGAATTTCGTGACAGACAGAGATTCACACACACAGACAGACAAACGTAAACAACCCTTAGCCCGTTATTATATTTTTTATATCCGAATGATCGCTAAGAGATACATATGATGCATTTTCGAACTCTGATAATCAAATTGTCTATGTCTTCAGAAGAGGAGCGCTCTAAGAATGGCTCGTTCCTCTTCTGCTTCTACTCATTGTCATTCATCTACCACTGGAAGTCTAGCATAACATTGGGATAAATTGAGAAGCATCAAACCATGCGCGCGCTTCATGTGCGCCGCAGAGGTACTTACGGCAAACCGGCCGGGATCCATACTATTAGGGCGTCTCATAATTTTTTACCTTTACTACAACTGTGTCGTTTTTGTAGCTTTCCTTCAACTGATGATCATTTGACAGCTCAAACCAAGCTCTACAAGATGGCTGTCAAGAGTCTGCCCAAGTCATATTCTACGCGAAGTTTGAGCTACATATGATAGCAGTCGAAAACGAACTTTACCGTCAAAAATCGTATCTCTGCCCTGAAAAATCTGAAAAATTCCCCATTCATTCTAGCAAATGCTTGACACATTGAACATTCGATTGTAAACTTTCCGTATTTTTCCATGCCTAGAAATGAAGGAAAAGATGATGGAGTAAAATGGCCCCTAGACGTCCTGAGCTCCACCCACGCAGTGGTCAAATAGCTCATACATACAGAATCGTACGATCATGTACTTGTACCCTTCGTAGGTGCCCTAGTCCACGAGAAATGCTGATGTCTAAGGTAAAAACGGTAATAAATTACGAGACACCCTAACATCAACACATTTTTGAGAAAGCTGAGAAAACAGGTCTTATGGTATATTTCGCAGATCTTACAGTCTGCTCCAATCTTAACCAGGCCAAAATTGGCATGGCGGGAGTCCGCGTCGCGAGGGTTTCGCGCCCCATCTGCGGCTAGCTAGTCTGCTCTCTCCTCAATCTCTTCACTCTCTGCGACAGCGCGCGTATGCAGCGCAAACCTTTAGCGCTGCGAGCGCGCAAATTCAGCCGGCGGTTCGGCCTGATCTCGATTGGGGCAGACTGTATAAACGAAGCATTGCATTAAGTGCAGTTTTTGTATTTAAATTCGCTATGAGTAGCCTAGTTTAGTAATTTGCTTGTTTAGGTTTTTTACTGAGACAAAATGTGGCCGTTAACGGCTCAGAAATCCATTCCAATTTTCTGCAGTTGATAGGTAGGCAGAAGACTTCTTGAAGAAGAATACCAGTGATTAAACACTGAGTACATACTTTTGAGAGACCCTGTATGTTACTTTGAGCTTAACGAAGGTGGTGAATATCAGGAAAGCGTACGGTTTCGGCGAGATACCGCCTTCTGCAGACCTTCTCTCTGGAGACATTTGGCACTTCGCCGGGTGTCTACAAATGCAGAGAGCACTAAAAAGGCGATACCATCAGGATAAAGCAAGAAGTGTGCCACACGATTGCTAGAGGCGACCCCCCTCCCACCCCCTAAGCGCTCTTTCAAAAAGACCATATGAACTAGGCATAACATAAAGGCACTACCAAGCATAACGAGTAATCTATTCATAACGAGCTGGCAAACCCGGCGCTTCGCCCGGTCCTGTCAGTAATGTATTCGAATCAGCATGTGTTCACTTCCCCCCCCCCCCTCCCCACCCTGCACACCCTGCACACCCTGCACACCCTTCACAAACTGCACACCCTGCACCCGAATGTGCACAAACACACAAACTCACAGATTTTCTGCTCTATATATACAGGGCTCCTAAATTGCAGAGTCGTTTGCACCAGCGGTCGCGCGTCCGCGTCGCGCCCAGGCATTTTGCCGGCGCCGGCGCCATCGATCGAGGCGGCGCCATTGATGCCCGGGCGCGACGCGGTCGCGCGACCGCTGGTGCAAACGACTCTGCAATTTAGGAGCCCTGTATAGAGATTAGCATATCAAATAGGAAAAGAGGAAAAGTTTGAGCGAATTCTGAGTATTCCAAATATTTGACCACTTGAATGAAACAGTCACTTTCAAACATGAATAACTTTGTTTTAAGGTACATTAGCCATCTCTTTTGCAATCATACAAAGCACCACTTTTTCGCCCATCTCAAAAATCCCACTTCAAAAGACCTCCAAACTTTGGAATCAGAAGCAATGCGTTTTTTAAATCATTGCCACTGCTAAACCTTCTCCTCTACACAGCAGGAATTTCATTCAAGATCGTTCTTCCTAGCGGAAGTTATAATCGTTCAGTTAATTTTCCTCACTTATGCAAATGGAGAATACTGCGAAAATATCGGGTTACGGTAGCATTCTAAGTCTGCGCCACTAATCGTGAATCGCGAGAGGAGGCCACAAGAACAAATATATTCGGTAGCCTAAACTACCCTACTTCCACAAATGTGATTTGAGCCTGATTGGTCTTCTCTAGTTTGAGATATTGAAAGTGAAAAATATGGCAAGAGTGATCTTGGCTTGCTCTTTAGAGGTTATTCGGAGTGGGATTCCCGATGTGAGCAACGATGTAGTTGTTCTTTGTATTTGCAAAAAGAAGTAGTTAACTCACCTTTGAGACAAAATTAACATGTCCGAAATTGGCCATTTCTGAAGTGGCCCAATATCTGGAAAGCTAAGAATTCACTCAAACTTGGCCCATAGGGATTGACATGATTAATGAAAATGATGCTCTCATGCTGCTAGGGTTCTTTTATTGTGCTTACCGTACGTATACGATGCTAGGCTGAAACACCAATTAGTATTTTGCATAATAGTTTTCTGACAGTGTTAACGAATATCAAGGTATCTATAACATCAGTATTACCTTGATAACGACCCCCCTTCCTCCCAAACCCCTCAATACGACCCCCAGGTGTGACGCGCCACACCCCAAGCTTGACTCTGGCTATCCGGAAATTCGACAAATCACTTTGTCTTTGGGAAGCTCCTATGAACTGTTTGACAAGGGAAGGATACCGAGTCGTACGGAAGTTCACCAAGGAGATGAGCATCATTAAGACTTCATCGGGACACTGATATGCCTAAAATTGCGAAACAGTTCTGCGCAAAAAAAGTTACGGATTCCTGGGTCTAAAAGGTTTTGCCGTGTCTGTAGTCGAATTGAATACGAGTAATACACATCATTGGTGTAGAAGCTAATAGTGCATTTGGGAGAGCAGTTGGCTCTCGGTCACAAGGTTACCTGGTCCAAGTTCAGTAGGTACCCGTCGCTTTCGCGTTTTTTTTCTTCGCAAATTTTCCTATTTTATCTGAAAATCACCTTAGATAGCGAATATCAGTAAATTTTGTTGCAACTGATTCTTGAAACACTTTATCGCCGCAGGACTGATGCATAATTACTCGCATTTGGTTTCAAAAAAAGAGGTAAAGCTCGTAAGAAGAGAGATCCGTATGTCCTTTTACAGAACCGTTTCGCAATTTTGGAAAAGGATATGTTATCAGTGTCCCGAAGGACCCTAATGATGTATATCTCCTTGCTAAACTTCATGTTATCTAGTATCCTTTACTCGTGAGTGAAAGCAGGTCAGTATTGTTCAATGCTTTTCAAATTAATATTGATTTGATGTGGAAAGGTTGACTGAGCGATTCCTTGCGAACATTTCATAGTTAATAGACTATTAGAAAGCTGTACTCAATGATGGTTTGGATTCTGCCGTTTTTGAATTTTAGATTACAGACACATCTTATCTACTTCCTATTCGTATTCTGGAAGATCCAACATAATTGTAAGCTAATGAGGAAAAGACCATTATCGTACCGCTTCTACTTCAACTTCTACTAATTTGAGATGCATTTTAGGAGGGGCATCTATGAAGCTGCTCGTTTTGTACATGCTTTTCTGTCCGGTCCTTTTTCCCGATGTACCTGAAAAAAATATCACTTTTTAGCTAAGCTTTTGTGCTGTTAGAAGAATGCGCATGGAAAAGCTCAAATCAAAAATAGCCCCAAGTCGGTGTTTATTTTAATAAATTCAGTTCAATGCTTCTTTACTCTTATTTCTTCTCTCTACGGAGAAATCAAACGATGAAATCACGATTAGCTTCATGACAAAGTATTCATCAGTAACTTAGACTTTCATGCGGACTCCACAATACTTGAGTATGCATTTTTATTATTTTATTATTTTTGTGCAACTAGTGCAACCAACACAAAGTGCGCTACAAGAAACACTACAGGCTAAGGCGCCTAACTCAACGAAACTCATATATGAGGATTTAGTACATCGGAAATGAGACACTGAGACTACCACTCGAAAGATGGTTTTTTTTTGAAAGTTCAAAAAGGCTGGAACTGAAGATTGCCGCCAAGATTGAACTTCGATAATAATTGCACACTAATCAAACAAGTGTGCGCTGATGCGCAGTAACACCAGATAGCATGCCTTCGGAATGACAGGTATACCGGCTAAACCCTGTCGAACCAGGCTTACCATTAAAGTGAAATTCTGATTATAAGCTCAAAAGTGCAAATGATAAGGTACCTACACTAAATAAGGCAAGAGTACCTACACTTCAGCAAGGGCTGAATAATGATCTAGAATCTGAAAACAAAGAGCAGAAAAGTACCCCGTCATAAGTGGGCAAATCTATCCCGAACTCGATATATTACATATAAGAGCAATCACGTAACATTCTCTGAAATTAACATTCGCAGAAGGCCATTTCCGAATGGATCAAATTGGGTCGAATCATTTTGGCATAAAATCCTAAGGGACACGCATTTTCAGTAGACGAAAGGCCGAACAGCAAAGAAGTATCGCAGGAATTGTCTGTCGCCCCTTGATTCTAGGAATACAGATATACAGAATAGATGACAAGGACGGAAGGTCCAGAAATCGTATGAATTCGAACGCACTTCTCGTCGAAATATTTTATGAACCTACTAGCTGGCATACCCGGCTCCGCCGTATGTTCCGAATAGAAAATTCCATTTCTTAACCGATCCGAACCAAAGTTGGCACACATACACTTCGGGCCCCGGCGGGTGTCACAGTCTACTTTTCGTTATCGATTGATGTCGATTTTATCGATTTTTTGCAAAATTTGAGCTAGGGAGCTGGAATTTGGCAGGGGGTGTAATCGAGCATGCTGATCACCCCCACGGGGGTGATCAGCATGCTCGATTACCCCCCTGTGCCAAATCCCAGCCCCGTAGCTCAAACTTTGCAAAAAAAATCGATAAAATCGATAAAAGTAATGCACGATTTTAAAAACTAATATTGTATTCGGAATCCCCATGCTCACTTACCCCCTGTGCCAACTCCCACCCCCGTAGCTCAAATTTTGCAAAAAATCGATAAAATCGATATCGATCGATACGAAAAGTAGCCTATGACACCCGCCGGGGCCCGAAGTGTATGTGTGCCAAGTTTGGTCCGGATCGGTTCAGAAATGGAATTTTCTACTCGGAACATACGTGCAGACAGACAGACAGACAGACATACATACAAACAGACATTCATCTTTATATATAAGATAAAGTGTCAGTCTATAGTATAAATTCTTTGAACCAAAGATAGCTAGTCTAGTTGTACTCAGGAAGCGCTTCTAAGTACTACTTACTTGGAACGGACGATAATACAAATTCTAGTAAACCTTCGTTGGACTTTTCTAACTTGATGTATTTTCTAACTGGAATACCGAATGAGACTACGATATTTCACAAAGACGTAAGCCTTATATAACCTCATCCGGATATATCTATCTGGTGTGTACCAGTGGCGTACCGAGGGGGGGGGGGGGGGCGGGGGGGGGGGGGCGCGCGCCCCCCCCCCCCGAGAACGGGTCGCGAAATTTTTGAAAGTTACTTACATGGGTCATAAAAATGTGCAAGTGACTTGTTTTTACTTGTAAATAATTAAAATAATTTTTGAAATTTTTTAAAAATTCATTTTAGCCTTATAAAAAAATTTTTTTCGGGGGCGTGGCTGACGCCACGCACCATCTTTAGAAAAAAATTTTGTCGCGCCCCCCCCCCCGAGCCGAAATCCTGGGTACGCCACTGGTGTGTACGTATTTCTAGGCATGGAGTACATAGTTTGCGAACTGACCCATTGACCACACTGTTTGGGAAGAAAATTTTGAAGAAGATCCAATTAGCACATACTCAGACAGTCGAAAGGATACCTCCGGAAGCAAATGCCGGGGGTCTGCCACTTCATTGCTCCGGAGCCCACGGTGACGTCACAAGAAGGCAAATTGGGAAAAATGGGACCCCTCCCCGGTGCTCGCAAATCTCTGCTCCGGGGGGTGCGCCAGATTTGGAGGAGCCCCGGAGCACCAAAACGCGTGAAATGGGAGGGCTCAGGAGCAATGAAGTGGCAGACCCCGGCATTTGCCCTCCGTAGGTATCCCTTCGACTGTCTGAGTGATTCATGAACAGCACTCTTCGACTTCAAAAGAATTCCATTGCCAAATTCCAGAATCTGCGCCAAATCTTGAAGTCTGACTCTTAGCTAGGTTAATTCTGAATCCTACTCCTCGCCCCATTTGGCAATGTATAGACAGTTTTAGTTTATCAGGTACTTTTTCATTGTTACTTACTTAGATACTTAGATTGCCCGTCTTCATGTGGTCTTGCCCTTTGTCCCTGTCCCTCGCTTCAGACATCCACGATCTTCTTGGTTGCCGTCGGTGGCTGCGTCCACGAGTTCCAGATGCGATAATCGTATCCAGCTGATTTCTCGGCTGTCCATCCGTTCCACTAACACGTCTGCCCATCTCGTTGGAGGTCTTCCTCGGGGACGTTTTGCTTCGCGAGGAATCCACCCCGATGTTCTTAGTGTCCATCTGTCGTCTGTTCTTCTCATAATGTGTCCAGGCTATCGGTGCTTCGCTTTCGCAACATAATCCGCTGGGTCACGAAGACGGGACATTCTCCTCTATCCGTACTGCGAAGTCCGATAAGATGTCGTTTGTGTCCGGTCATCTTCAGGAGACTACGCTCTAGCGCTTTGTGGGTGGTCCTTAAAGCTTTCGAGGTGGCTACGGTGTCAGCCCAAGTTTCAGCTGCGTAACAGAGCGCCGGGAGAACGGTTGAGTCGAACAGGTAGGCACGAAGCTCCGGGTCCGTCAGTTGGTCGGTGGCTTCCTTCAGAGGCCCGAAGGCGGCCCAGGCTGCTCTTCTTCTCCTGTTAAGTTTTTCCCTCAAGTCCTTCTCCATGTTCATCGAACGTTCGAGATACACGTAAGAAGACGTCTCCATGATAGGGGTGCCTTCCAATTCCATTTCTGCATCTTTGCGAAGGGCGTTCTTCATAAACTGGGTCTTCCGATTTATTCGCAGTTCTATCTTCTTCCCTAATTCGTTTAGTTCCTTTAGTCGTCTCTGCTTCAGTGATACTGTTTGAAAAGAGAACGATGTCGTCCGCAAAACGAAGGTTAGACAGGAATCTCCCATCAACTCGTAAGACTCTCTCGTCCCAGTCCAGTGACTTCATCACCCACTGTAAGGCCGCGGTGAAAAGCTTTGGCGAGATTGTGCCGCCTTGTCGGAACCCCCTTTCCGATTGAGATGGTTAGGGGGCGATGGAACAGCTGCATCGTCGTTGTACAGTCCTTGTATCAGTCGGCTAATGTTCTCACATAAGCTGGGTCCACTCGACTTGATCGACTAGCGCAGACAGGATGGCGTTGATTTCGACACTGTCAAAGGCTTTCTCGTAGTCGACGAAGGTCAGGGCGAGAGGCAGTCGGTACTCCCGGCAGACTTCTATGACTCCCGAAACCGTCCGGATCTGGTGCATGCAGCTGAATTCTTTGCGAAATCCAGCTTGTTCTTGGGGTTGAGCTTCATCCGGTGTCCTAGATATGCGAGCGAGGATAATCTTCGTGAAAAGCTTGTACAGCACACTCAGCAGGCATATTGGACGGTAGTTCCGAAGGTCTTCCCGTTCACCTTCTTGAAAAGAAGGACGGTTCTTATGTTCTCCACTGGTCGGGAATCCTTTCCTTCTGAAGGTGATGTTAGGTGCGACGCGAGAATCTTGTGCAAACGTTGTCCTCCGGCTCGCAGAAATTCGACGGAAAGATGGTCTGGTCCTGGAGCCGTGGACGTCTTCATAGTCTGAATTGCCATGCGCACTTCGTAGAATTCGTGGCGGTACTTCTCCAGTGGGAACAACGGGCATCGGCACGTGTGTTGATGAGCGGAGGAGGTTGGTGAAGAAGTTGTCAGCCGCGCCCCTCTTTCTCAGTCTCGCAGCCGCGAGTCCGTTTACTAAAGCGGCCTCGGCTGTTTTTCACGTTCCGACTCCACTCAAGAAATACACAAACACTCTCACGAGATAAGACGATTTACTTCCCAAAAAGTTACAAAACAAGATAGGTTACCTCAAAAAGTTCAATGGTGATTATTGGACCACCAGTGGCCGTATTCATCAACGAACCCTGAGGGTTAAACTAACCCTGGAGGGTTACTTTAACCCTGGAAATAACCCGTATTCATGAAACACAGGGTCGGCTTAACCTGAGGGTTAAATCTACCCTTGAAGGTAAACCTTAACTTACACGGCACGATTGCACACATGAAAATAAACTTACGCTGTAAGATTGGATTCTGCACAAATATGCTAGAGATGTATTATAAAAACTAGTGTTAGAAGCTTATTCGTTGATTATACTACTATAGCAGTGAAAGAATAGAAGTATAAAGTGAATTTAGCACGTACTTAGGCATTCTGTGATGTGAGTTTGCACAGCGCACGCGTAAGTGACGCCTTAACCCTCCAAGGTTGGGTTAAGCTTCGTTGATAAATACGGCCACAGGTTCGTTGATCGATACGGGTGGATCGCGTTCCGTGGTAAACCCTACCCTATGGTTGATGAATACGGCCAATGAACCCTAAGGGTTAAACTAACCCTCAG